ATGATTTGAATGTGATTGGATCGTAATGGACATTTGTGTGGAATGCAATGTAATTGATATTGAGTATGATGTGTGGTGAAATGGTAATAAAATTTGTATGGTTGGTTACAATGTGGTTGAAAATGTGTGGACATGCTATTGGTTGATAATGAATAATGTGAAATGATTGAAAATACGTGTGAATGTCATGATGATTGTATTTAAATATGTTGGTAAACTATGAATGGTTCAGTAATGTTGGGATGTGCGAACAAGTCCCACATTGACTAAAATTGGGGAAGATCAAGGGCATATAAGTATGGTAAATCTTTATTAGTATGGAGCCTTTTGGATGGTGTACAAAAACAAAATCATGAGGGCTTAGTCCCAAAGTAGACAATATCATACTAGTGTGGAGATTTACTAAAAGAGATGTGGATGTGAGTATGCACGTTCCCAAGTAGTGCCACATGGATGGTGAACCCCATGTGATGAATCTCCCAAGTAGGGCCAGAGGAGGGCCTGGTGCGGCGAGGGCGAAGGGTGCTTGGCACCCAAGTGGGCTCTACTGTTAGAGGCCCAGTATTAAGAGGACTTCGTTTAGAGCTGTCGAAATGCCCAGCCTAGCCCGACCCGTTAAAAATGGGCTTATATTTTTATTGCCTAAGTCTTACCCTATGCGGGCTACAGGCTTTTATGAGCTGACCTTACAACTCGAATAATTTTTTTTCCTTTTCTTATTTTTGTAACATTTCATTTTTTTTACTGTTTTTATAACAATAAATCATTATTTTTATTGTTGTTTTCAGTATTTGTAACAGGCCATTTTAAGCTATTTTTGCAATAGCTTAATAAACCACTCATTTTTTTTGCCCAATTTTTATATTAGACCATTTATTTGATTTTTTTTTTAAATGTAAAAAGCCACTAGTTTCTTTTTTTTTTTATTGCATTTGTAACAACCAATTTTTTATTTTTATACACACAATAAGTCTATAAAAATATAAATAAGTTCATAATTAAACAAATTTCTTACAACAAAAAGTTCATACACATAAAAAGTCCACAAAAATATAAAACAAGTTCACAAAGATTATAAAAGTCCATCAAAGATTTAAATATCAAAATTTAAGAACGTAAAACTTCTTGAGAAAGCTTAGAATCATCGAGTAATAGTCTCTTTTCCATTAACATATATTTTAGGGTTTTGAAATTAAAATATATTCCCTTCCAAACTCTTTAAAACTCAGAATTTAATCTCAATATATATATACTGGCTACACGAACCTGCATGGGCCAACCCGGTTAAAGCCCTATCAGGTACCGGGCTTATTTGGACTGGGTCAAAATAGCTCAAGGTAATTTCGGATCTTATTTTTTATAGCTTAAACTCGCCCATTTAACGAGTTTTTTTGGCCCAATCCATCGGGCCGACCTATTTTGCCGGCTCTAACTTCGTTCGGGGGGAGATTGTTGGGATATGCAAACAAAGTCTCACATTGACTAAAATTGGAAAAGATCGAGGACATATAAGTATGGTAGATCTCCATTAGTATAAAGCCTTTTGAATGGTGTCCAAAAACAAAACCATGAGGGCTTAGGCTCAAAGTGGACAATATTATACTAGTGTGGAGATGTACTAAAAGGTCCATGATGTATCTAAATTAGTCCTCTAGCATTTGTTTTGCCTCAAACTTGTAACCTTCCTTATTTTAAAATATTTTATTCAAACTATGCATTGAGAACTATTTGAATGAAAATTTTATTATTCTCATTATTGCAAAATTAATTGATTTGGAAATTAAATTAAGGTGTTACAGTGATAAGCCATCTACAATTTGTGTAGTTCTTACCTTAGCATATCCTCAAAATTGGCCCATCAAACATATCAATATTAACAACAATTTCCTAAATAGCGACATAGGAGAAGAAGTTTTCATGACTCAACCCCTTGATTTGAGTAAGGAGATAACTCACTAGTTTGCAATTTGAACAAGGCATTATTCGGTCTTAAACAAGCTCCTAAAGCTTGGTTCCATAAACTTCAATCCTTCCTCCAAGTTTGGGATTTCAAGCTACAAAATTTGATATCTCCATTTATTTTCAAGTTACTTTATATTTCACCATTAGTATTCTTGTTTATGTTGATAATATTATAATCATTAATACTCCTCTTAAGCCATATATGATCTCACCAAAACATGAAAAAAGTCCATTTTCTTATATGTTTGGTTATGTATAATTTAAACCCTAACTTTTGAAAGTGTGTGAAAAAACTCTTATGTTACTTAAATGTCTAATTTCTTTATTTTTTGGACAAAAATACTCCTAAAAAAGTCGGCCATTGCAAGGAGGGAAAAGATTAGGAATTTAGGAGTATTTTTGTCTAAGAAATAAAGAAATTGGATGTTTGAGTAACGTAATGGTTTCTTTGCACACATTCAAAAGTATAGGACATTGTGTTACACATTTTTAAAAATCAGGATCTAAATTGCATATAACTAAACATAAAAAGAGGTGAAGTGGATTTTTTTTTCCCTAGAATATTGAACAACAAATTTCTTTGAAGGACTTAGGTAATTTTCATTATTTTTTAGTATTCAAGTACATCAAACCAGCACGAGTGGAAACCCAATTCATGATCTTCTTCATAAAGCTAATATGAACAATGTTAATCCAAATCCCATGACGTTAGGACTTAAGTCAGTACCGAAGATGCTTCTCTCTTCAAGATTAGGCCAAAGTTAAATTGAAAGAGTTTGAAGTGTCTCGTATTCCTACAACTAAACAAACTACTAATATTCTTATTAAATCTTTCTCATACAATTTTTACAAATTGTAGATACAAAATTAGAGCTCGTGACTATCACTCGTGAGTTTGCAAGACCTAAAGGTAATTGAATTAGTTATCTATCTCTATTTGTGTGTGTGCTCGCGCATGTCTTCTCACTCTGTAAACTATCTCTAAATCCATATATTCATCTTCTCTCATAAATCACTTATTCTCATTACTCTATATTTCTCTTACATTGCTCATATACCTTCACTAATTATAGAAAAAAAATTGCTCTTGATCATTGTCCAACAATGTTCATTATTTGTGCATGCATTCAAGTGGGTTACCAATTCATTTTTTGTATTGACAATTGAAATGCAAAAGATTAAATAATGTAGCAAAAGAAAAAAAAAACATATAATTACTGAATTAAGTTCTTAAAATTTTCATGATGTACGACCAAGAATTGAACTTTTAATCTAACTTATCATTGTATGAATACAAATCTTCTAAAGTTTTGACGTAAATTGCAGTCTGTAGTACATTTTTGTTTAAGTAAAAAAATTTGCTTAAGTCAAAATCGTATAAAAATTTATAATTTCATCTTTTTTTTTAAACTAACAAATACTCTATAGAACTCATGTTAGGTAGTCATTGATGAAAAATAAAGTTTTCTCAAATCTTCTTAGTTTAGAGAAGAAAAAAATGAAGTTAAAATTAAAAAAAATGAAATTTTAATTATTTAGGTGATTTTGATTTAAGCAATTTTTTTTATTAAATAAAAATCACTTCTTTAGCTTATTTTGCTTAAGTGAAAATTTTGCTTTAAACAAAAATTACTTTTTTACTTAAATAAAAAAAAATTCACTTAAACAAAAATATGCTACAAACTACAATTTATGTTAAAACTGCAAAAGATTTGTATGGGATTCAATCCCATTGGCAAATCTTTGTAATAATAGTAATCTGCTAGCATGGCAAAATTACCCAACGTAACAAATACTATGAAACATTAGCAAAACACATGGTAGAAGAATAATGCATAAGCAAAGTTAAAAGTACTAGTTTTTCAAACAAAATTTGTTATATACATTGTATTCTGATTTTTTTTTTAATTATAAGTGGACATAAGATTAAAGAGACTAACCAAAATATTTTTTTAAAATATTATTATATTAATTTTTTAAATATATATAATTTAAATTTCTTCTTGCTTTAGAGAAAGATGTATCTTGTAAGAATAATTTCCATTATAAGATTGTGAGAAATATAAATCTAAACCATATAACCATATATAGATAATTAGTTAGTGATCACATAACAACTTAACAAGATTCATGTACATTTTTCTTTTAATATTAATCATTTAAATAAAATCTAAATTTTAGTCCCCCTAATTTTAATTGCTCATATTTAGTTTTGCTGATTTTTTAATTGTTCAAATTAAGTTTCTTATCTCAAAATTTTATCTAATAATCAATTAAAATACAATAGAGATATGACATGTTATTGATATACATAAACAAGTAAAGAATAAATATATAAAATATTAAAATAAAAATACAAACAAGTATATAAAATATAAAAAAATATTTTTTACTTTTATTTGATTATTTTATATTATTTATTTATAAATTTGCATAAATCAATGGTATATATTTATTTGTTAATTATTAAGTGAAATTTTGGGAGAAGAGACTAATTTGCACCATTAGGAAACTATAGAAACTAAAGGTAATTAATTAAAATTAGGAAAACTAAAATTATACATAAGCTATAAAAGTACAAAAATTAAAATTTCAATTAAACCTAAAATTTATTAGTTTATATGTATCATTCTATTTTCACAATAATAAGTTATATATATATATATATATTTTATTTTATTTTTCTCTTTCTTATATGTTTAAGTCTCACCTTCGGAAAAAGAACTATTATGAAGCCGGTATCATGTAAGGTAAAGCTGACATGGACATTACCTCATAAAGAAAGTAGTAATATTATAATTTTCACATTAAATAGAATAAAAAATTCAACGTAACATTTAAATCATTAAATTTTTTCGCTTAATAGACTAATATTTTGCGTTGACTCTATATGCTTAGTTCTTAAGAAAGTGTTAGAATTTAGAATTGGGACCGATAAAAGCGTTAAACTTGATGTAAAGAACAGACAACTAGTTTAGGTTAGCCGTGGTGTAGTATAGTATCAGGTCACAAGACATGATTTCGGGAGTCAATGTATAAAAAGTTGGCGAAATAAAATAAAAATAAAAACATTTATCAGAATATTTAAACGTTGTGTATAACAAATTAATAATTAAGTCACTATTCTTCTAAAATAAGCTACAATAGGAACATTAAACCTATTTTATAAATGTCTACTACTGAGTACTAACAAACTGATTTACTGTACAATGTCACTGTTAACACAATAGAAGTATCCCTATCATATATTCGAAAACCCCATAATAAAACCAAAGTAAGCCAAAACAAAACAAAACAAAAAATCTCTTTTGAAGATTTATTCCAACCCAGAAGAATATGACTTCATCTAGCATTGAGGAGCATCCTTAGAACGCTCTTCATCTTTGGTCTTGTTTCTGGGGATGTGCTAACACAAACAAGAGCAATCTTGAGCATTGCAAGCATTTGGTTTCTGACAGCTTGTGATGTTCTACTGACATTAAGATCAAGAATGTAATCCTGGTTTGTTGAGTAACGCAAAACCCATTTGACCAATTCCGTTCCCTCGGTCACCGCAGGTTTTCCTGTCAGCAGTTCAAGCAGAATGACACCAAAGCTGTAGACATTCCCAGCCATTGTTACTGTCATTGTGTATGCATACTCTGCCAATCAACAAACAAAATAACTTCAAAGTTTTGAACAATAAAATAGTTTAGGTACTCATTGAATTCTAAATTGATTGGAGTATATGCACGAGGACAAATGTTTAAATGCAATTTTCAGGTCATATGGTCAAAAATGTTTATGATGAATCTCATCAGATTTGTCTCTGCAAGTTGTCACTAATAATAAGTAGAAACAGTGATTAAATAATACCACATAACTGATACCTTGGCCGAGTTTGAATTAACTTCTCAACAAGTATATTTTCATGAGTTAAAATCAACTTATGCTATTTTACTTTTTTAAAAGCTTTTTTAATTAACTTCTCAAACAATTATGATCAAAATACTTACAGGCTTTTGGGGACGTGGTGGAATTCAAAAACTAATATTATAACAACATTATATAAAAGTTAGTCTTTGGTGGAATGGCAGTGATTAAAGTTAGTTTATGAACTATGAAAAACTAATAGGAATATAAGGTTGAAGAGTTTTTGACCTGGTGGAATATAACCAACAGAACCAGCAACGGCAGAAAAATTCCCTGTACTTTTTGAGGGATCAATCACCTTGTAGTGTTCAATATCCCCAACTAGAGGCTCCTTGAGGGACTTGAGCATAATACTTTTACTCGATAGGTCAAGGAGAAGTATTGGACTAGAGGCAAATCCATGGAGAAAAGAAAGTCCTTGAGCCACCCCAACAGCTATACTATATCTGCTAGCCCAATCCAAAGAGTTTTCCATGCTTCCATGAAGAACATCAAAGAGGGAGCCATTTGAGACATATTCATACAGTATATAAGCAGTGTCAGTAGACAGAACATAGGCCAAAGGGGTCATGACATTTGAATTGTTCAATTTTGCCAACACCTCTAGTTCTTTCCCGAATTTATCATGAGTTCCCACGGGCAATATCTTGTCAGACCAGTTCAGTTTCTTGACGAAATAGGTTGATCCAGATGGCATGATGGCTTTATAATAAGTTGAAAACCTTGTTTTCAGAGTAACATTTGATGTTTCAGCTACGGCTTCCATGGCTTTGGAGAAGTCAATGCTTGATCTGTGGATTCCATTAGGGGTCAATAAATTACTTTGGATGACCTGAGGATTGTGATGATCTTCTCCCGACGGTAAATGCTCGTCGTTAACCCTGTAATAGTGTCGTGACACTGACACAACAAGCAGAGTGACAATGCCAACAATAAAAATAGCTGCTACAATTGCAATCAAAATTGCCACAGCAACAGATATTCCCTTCTTTGCAGAGCTTGAGTAGGGTGTTGGGCTGTCCGGTGTAGTAGTATTCATTGACAGATTTGGATTTCCTTTAAAATCAATGATAACATGACCACTAAATTTCGGAATGACACCAGTAAGTTGATTGTTAGAAATTAAAAATTGAGTCAAAGCCGACATTCGGGTTAAATCCTCAGGAATTTCACCAGAAAATTTGTTATTTGAGAGATCCAAGACTTCCAAGTTATTTAAATTACTTAAACTGCTAGGAATAGAACCACTAAAGCGGTTGCTACTAAGATTCAGCGAAGCCTGCAAACTCAATGGCATGTTTGGGATCACACCACCTAGCTGGTTTTCCCCAAGTTGGAGTTCTATAAGTAATTTCAACTTGTCAATGGATGTTGGTATAAAACCACGCAGATTGTTGCTTTGTAAGTAAAGGAAAGCCAGACTGCTCAAATTTGAAATCTCAGATGGAATTGATCCACTCAGAGAATTCCAGCTCAAATTCAATGTTGATAACTTCTGAAGTTGACCAATTTCAATTGGGATTGTACCATTAAGGTTGTTCATTTCAAGCTTCAAGACTTGAAGATTGTTTAGATCACCAAGCCAGGGTGGCAATACATCACTCAACTGGTTCTCAGCTAAATTCAACAATGCCAACTTCTTGCAAGAACCCAACTCAACCGGTATCGATCCCGTTAACTCATTGTTGTTCAGCTCCAAGTAGGTCAAATTTTGAGCTGTTGAAAAAGCATCTGAAGGAATATTTCCCCTCAGAAGATTGCCCCCAAACCTCAACCTGATCAAACTAGGAGAAACTTTAGAAGGTAATGACCCTGTTAAATTGTTATTGGACAAATCTACAACCTGCAATTGTTGTGGAGATAAAAGACCTTCAGGAATGGAGCCAGACAATTGATTATAACTAAGATCCAAACTAGTGAGATATTTAGTAATCCCAGGAGGTACAGAACCATTGAAATGATTCAGATTTGCCGCAAATCTAGTAAGTTTAGTGATGTCCATAAGTGATGGTGGAATTTCACCAGCGAGGTTATTAGAAGAAAGGATCAAAGTTTCCAATTTAGATAGCTTCCCAATATTGCTATGAATAGTACCAGAAATATTATTTCCCCTAAAATCAATCCCAGTCAAATTTTCATAACTCAATAAATCATCAGGGATTTTTCCATGAAAGTAATTGCCAGAAAGCACAAGCTGTTCCAAAACCATGGACTTTCCCAGTTTAGTAGGGAGAGAGCCCATGAAGAAATTGAAACTAAGATTCAAACTCTTGAGACTAACCAACCCATCTAACTGTAAACCAATATTCCCTTCCAACTGATTGAAAGACATATCCAGGGATTCCAATCCATCAAAACCATTGAAAGTAGGAAAAGCACCCCTTAACTTGTTTCCAGTGAAATTCAGCAGCTTCAACCCCTTAATCTTTCCACACTCAGTGAAGAAATCTTCAGGGATTGAGCTCAAACGGTTATTGGAGACATCAAGATGCTCCAAAGTTTCAATTTTACAAACAAGAAGAAAGTTGGAGGAAGAGAGTCCAAACCCAGATAGAGAAATCTCTCTTACTGAGGAATTGGTAGGGTCACAAGTCACTCCCTTCCATGCACATGGGTTTGAGCCACTCCATTGACCAGAAAATTCAGGATTTTTCGATAGTTTGATCATGATGTCTGTTTGGCTTTGAGATAGCAGGGACAACACCAGAGGACAGAAACAAAAGAGAAACAAAATACAAAGGAAAGATGTGAGGGTGTACTCATACCTGCTCATGTTTTCAGCAGTGTTTAGTAGTGAGTTTTGAACTGTGATTATTCTTCACTTTTAAAATATCATGTATGTGAGTATGTCTCTATCTATTAGGAATGTGTGAGTGTATATTTTATTTGATGCGTGAGTATTGGGGTTGAAGAGCAAAACATGGGAATGACAGGAAGAAGAGAATAATAAAGGAATGGAAGTGTCTGAAAGAGAATATTGGGTTGAAGGAAGTTCGGTGGAAAGAGAGTGAGAACAAGTGTGGTAAAAGTGGTGAGAGTGGAGTTGACTGACATTGCAGCTCTGTCTGCACAAAGACTTGTGTGACATTACATTCAGACAAGAATAAATGCCATTGCCTTCTGCAACACGTTCTATTTTTCTTATACGTTTTATATTATTATTAGATCAATTTTATAAATATAATTTAAATCATTTTTAAATATTTTTAGTGTTATTTTATTATTTCTAAATGATAATTATTTTTTATCATTTTAATTAATAAATAATATTAAAAATATCTAAAAATTTATACTTAGTATTTTTTATTATTTTATCTCTTCCAATTGAGAATAAATTTGTTTGTTTGATATCCGCTGTTGGTTTAAGTGGATAAAAGATAAACGAAGCAAAAAATTGATTTATTTAATAAGCGTATATTTAATTATTTAATAGGATCTACATTTACAATTCATCTCATTATACAAAATTTTGTATGAATTTTTACGAAATTGGTATCAACTGTGAGATTTTAAAGAATATTAATTATTTAAAATTTAATTTCTTAATTTTAGAAAACATCTTTTACCAATAAAATTAAATAATTGTTTTTCATAATAAATTAAAATAAACATGTACATTTGCAATATGTTTTTCTTTTCGTGATTGTTTGGAATATGTTACTAAGAAAGAAAAAATTTATTCTTATTACACCTTTAATAACGTGGAAATATAAATTGAGTTGTATTTGCAAATATTTTCTTAAATATATTTTTATACTTAACACTTTACAATTTATTATCACTTATTTACTCTTTGATCAATATTAATTGATATTTTTAAAAAATTGCTTAAAAAATTAAAAAAAATAAAAGTTTTATTATATAGAATATATTTAATATTTACTTTTAGAAATAATTGAAATTGCTTATTGGAATATATTTAGTTTTCTATAACCAAAGATTTGCATTGCATTGCATGCTCCTTACTCTAGCTTTTGTTTGATAAATAAGAAATTATAAAAAATTAAAAATTACAAATATTAATAATTTCTGATATCATAAAAATTGGAGAATAAAAAAAATCTATATAAAACTTATAGTAAGCTTCTTTTAAAAATTTAGCGGGGAAGGGGTATTTTTTTATTTTATTTTATCCTTATTTTGTCATTTCTTATTAAAGTGTAATGAAATATTGCTTTTAACTAAAATTATTTAAAATTAAATTAATGCAAAATTAATAAATTTTCATAAATATTTGAATTTTCTTTTGTTTTAGAATCAATTAAGAAAATAGTTGAATAAAAATATTCTCATGTTTTTATATTAAAATTGTTCATTATGATTAATTTCTTTATTTTTTAAACTTTTTAGTATTAGTTTTTTTTTGTTAACTAATATTCTTAAAATAATAGTTAAAAAACTTAAATATAATTAAATTTTAAAAAAAATATTAAACTGCAATAAAATTTAATGAAATAAATATATTTAAATTTCTTAACGAGTACTTTGAAGTGGTCTTTAGTATTTTTCTTGACTTTGACTCTGCAAACTGACATAGTGGGACCCTTGGAAGAATGGAAAATGTTCAGCGCATTATTCAAACACGCGTAGGAGGAAAAGACTCGCAAATGCGAGACTCGTTAGCTGCTTCATCCACAACAATATTTTGCTACATTAAATAAATTCTTATAAAGTTATTTTTAAAAAATAATTCGTTACGAGAGAGTTTTAAGAAATTAATTCTAATCATTTTCAAATTTATTCATTTGCAAATATATTATAATCATATTAAGTGGACTCCATTTATTATTCTCTAACTTATTTCTTGAAATTTAATAAAATTTTATTTACAACTTTTTGTTCATAAATTAAACTAAAAAGTCATAATAAAATATAAAATTTAAATATTTTTTTATTTATTAATATAAAGAGTAAATTTAATTAACATTAATTTTTTTATTTAAACTAACTCCTTTTAAGAATTTAATACAATTACATTTATTAAAATTTGAATTTAAAATTACAAATTAAACTGAAATAATCTCATGCCAATTAATTTACATGTCTAATAATTACATTAACTAATTTAATAATCAATTGACTAAAAGAAAATTTGTAAATTTTAAAATAGTATAGTTATTATTTTTTTATATTTTTCTTTGAAAATATATATGAATTAGCTTTATAATACACAAATTATATTAATAAAAAATAAAATTAATAATTATGATCTCAAATTCAAATATCATTAAATGTAATTTGAGAAAAATTAGTAAAAAAAATACTTATAGTCCAAATAAAAGATATTTAATAAAATAATTAAATTCTACTTTTGAAACAGATAAGTAAAATATAAAATAACATTATTAATTTTTAACGTGTATTTTAAAACCTATGATAAAAAAATAATAAATAATACTTTAATATTAAAAATAATAATATTTAATATTATTATTTTTTAATAAAAATTTGTGATATATTAATTTTGATTGCATATTCTTAAATTTACATTAAAAAAATCATAACGTTATTAGGACAGTGATTAACAAAATTATGATTTAATTAATTTTGGTGTTTGTTCAGTAAATTATTGGGAAAGAGAGCTGTTGACCAGTGATTATTTGGTTATCCAGCAAAAGTCCAATTTCCACGCCGATTGCCATTCTAATTGCGTCGAGGAAGTCAACATAAATTACACGTTCCAACAGCCACCAAAACTTACATTGTCGTTTATTGATTGTAACGAAGATATATACTCAAATAATAAAACGATTTTTATTAATCTTAATATTTAAAGTTAGTTTTAAAAATGTACCAAATGAAAAAGTTAAATTTAAATATATTAAATTTTTATTATATATGTTAAAAATATAAAAAATAATATGTATTTTTAATAGTAATAATAATAATACTAGATATTTAAATTCAATTTTAAAAATTAAGGCTAATATAAATAATATTTTTTATGTTTTCTATGATAAAACGTTAAAAGTCAAAATTGAGTTTAATCTTTTAAATATATATTATTTCTAATTAATTAAAAAAATCATGAAATGAGTTAAGATTTAATAATTCCAGTTAAAATAATGAGGATTATCGTCACTTTACGATAAAAAAAAAAAAATTGAAGAATAAAATTGAGATTATATTTTTATATATAAAATAAAAATATTAAATGAGATAATTTTTTAATGTGTGAGTAGATGGATAAAATAGTGAGATTTTTTTTTTATCCAATTTATAGAAGAAAAACTAATTTATGAATATCTATTGTTTATAAGACAAATTGATATTGAAGTGAAGCTTGAAGAAATCAAAAGGTGCAAAAATTATAGTTGAGTGTTCCAACGCCTAGATGTCCAAACTTAAAAAAATAAATTAAAATTGATAATGATATGTGGACATCCCAATGCTTAGGTGTCTCATATTCATGCATATTTTTACATCCAAAAGTGAGTATCTCAACATTTGTATCGTACTTAATTATAGTATATTGACTTTCACATATTCTAATGTTAATTCTAGTGTCTTAACGCTTAATATGACTCTAAAGTCTATAACTAAATGGATGTCATAAAGTTCATTTTTTTGGATATTGTTCATTTTATTTTCTAAGTTTCATATTAATTTCACTTTGAATTTTTTCTATTTTATTTTTTTTATTTTTTTTCTTTCTTAGAAATGGAAGACTCCTTTGTATCTTTCTATATTTTCAATAAACTTTCTTTCTTTATTTCTTATTATTTTATGTATTGTTTGTTTTATATATATATATATATATATAACTAGTTCCTTTTAGATTATGATGAGATAAACTTCTGTTTAAATTTTCTAAAATTATCAATAATATTTCATTTTTATATACTTTTTTTCTCTTGCAATTGAGTGAAATTTTTTTATTTTTAATATATTATATGATTTAGCCAACTAAATAATGATTTCAAACTTGGTTTCATAATTGAAAAATTAGTTCTTGAGTTAAACATCATCATAATTATTTTGATGTTGAAAATTTTGTTCTATAATTGTGATATATTTCTATGTTCTTGAGCATTAATATATGTGTTAATCAAATTCATTGAAGACAATAGAGATTTTTGGTTGATTATATATGGGTTTTTATCTAAAACGTTAGAGTTGACTCAAAATTAGAAAACTTGACCTTTATTATATTAAGTAGTGAATAGATGAGATAACCTCTAATTTTAGGAGAGACAAATAGAAGGAAATATAATCCTAATTATTTTTGTGCATTGATTTTTTGTATTGTTTATGTTGTATGTTTTACACTTTAAACTCCAAAAATAATTTTCTTTATTTCTTTGGCTTTCATTCTGCAATATATAAATTTTTGCTATTGTGGCTGCTTAAATAGAAGTTTGAACAAGATATATTGAGAATTGACAATAATCCTCTTAAGAATGATATTGAATTTTTTAGGTTAAACGATTGGTGTAGTTGTCTTGTTGTTTGCATTTGTAAATAGATCAAGCCACATCAAGTATTATATTTGGATTTGTTATCCAAATTTTTAAAGAAGTATTTTTCACTATTCAAAAATAAAATCAAATGATAAATAACATGGTTTTAATAAAGAGATGATGAATCGTTGTTTGAAACTTAGGAAAGATTCAAAGAACTATTGAGATGTCCACATGATGAATTTTCAAAAATACAAGTACATATATTTTATAGTAGAATAAAATCTTCTACATGGTTACTTATAAACACACTACTAGGAGAAGGATCATTGAATACAAAGTCAACATGAATTTCAATTGACAAGTGATAGGACATATGAACAAAAAAAGGAGTAATAGATCTAAAAACACATGAGATATTATTAGATAAAACCAAGATAATTAATTAATAGTTGGAACAACTTAAAAAAACAAATACAAGCCATGCAATTAAACTCTATGCAACATCAACAACCTAATTGTGGTTTCTATGACATACTGTAAGATTAGAGATTACAAGATTTCTTGTCTACTCAAGTACATGTAAATTACACATGACAATGTCTAAATAATTATCATTAGTTTAATGCAAATGGTCAATGTTACAACAATCAATAGAACATCACAATGTATAAGTCATCTCAATTTACATCATCTCAGAAGCAAGGTAACCTTCTTAACTTAG